TATGAGGTGCACAACGTTTCGTAGCAAAGTCACGCATCCCTGACTTTTCCTAGACTGTCTAATAACTACTGTTTACCTGTCTTTGATGGTCATTTAGAAGTGATACACATAAGGAAGAGAATTTATGGATGTCAATTTCTTTATTATGAGGTGCACAACGTTTCGTAGCAAAGTCACGCATCCCTGACTTTTCCTAGACTGTCTAATAACTACTGTTTACCTGTCTTTGATGGTCATTTAGAAGTGATACACATAAGGAAGAGAATTTATGGATGTCAATTTCTTTATTATGAGGTGCACAACGTTTCGTAGCAAAGTCACGCATCCCTGACTTTTCCTGGACTGTCTAATAACTACTGTTTACCTGTCTTTGATGGTCATTTAGAAGTGATACACATAAGGAAGAGAATTTATGGATGTCAATTTCTTTATTATGAGGTGCACAACGTTTCGTAGCAAAGTCACGCATCCCTGACTTTTCCTGGACTGTCTAATAACTACTGTTTACCTGTCTTTGATGGTCATTTAGAAGTGATACACATAAGGAAGAGAATTTATGGATGTCAATTTCTTTATTATGAGGTGCACAACGTTTCGTAGCAAAGTCACGCATCCCTGACTTTTCCTAGACTGTCTAATAACTACTGTTTACCTGTCTTTGATGGTCATTTAGAAGTGATACACATAAGGAAGAGAATTTATGGATGTCAATTTCTTTATTATGAGGTGCACAACGTTTCGTAGCAAAGTCACGCATCCCTGACTTTTCCTAGACTGTCTAATAACTACTGTTTACCTGTCTTTGATGGTCATTTAGAAGTGATACACATAAGGAAGAGAATTTATGGATGTCAATTTCTTTATTATGAGGTGCACAACGTTTCGTAGCAAAGTCACGCATCCCTGACTTTTCCTAGACTGTCTAATAACTACTGTTTACCTGTCTTTGATGGTCATTTAGAAGTGATACACATAAGGAAGAGAATTTATGGATGTCAATTTCTTTATTATGAGGTGCACAACGTTTCGTAGCAAAGTCACGCATCCCTGACTTTTCCTAGACTGTCTAATAACTACTGTTTACCTGTCTTTGATGGTCATTTAGAAGTGATACACATAAGGAAGAGAATTTATGGATGTCAATTTCTTTATTATGAGGTGCACAACGTTTCGTAGCAAAGTCACGCATCCCTGACTTTTCCTGGACTGTCTAATAACTACTGTTTACCTGTCTTTGATGGTCATTTAGAAGTGATACACATAAGGAAGAGAATTTATGGATGTCAATTTCTTTATTATGAGGTGCACAACGTTTCGTAGCAAAGTCACGCATCCCTGACTTTTCCTAGACTGTCTAATAACTACTGTTTACCTGTCTTTGATGGTCATTTAGAAGTGATACACATAAGGAAGAGAATTTATGGATGTCAATTTCTTTATTATGAGGTGCACAACGTTTCGTAGCAAAGTCACGCATCCCTGACTTTTCCTAGACTGTCTAATAACTACTGTTTACCTGTCTTTGATGGTCATTTAGAAGTGATACACATAAGGAAGAGAATTTATGGATGTCAATTTCTTTATTATGAGGTGCACAACGTTTCGTAGCAAAGTCACGCATCCCTGACTTTTCCTAGACTGTCTAAT